ATTGTTATTAAGCAAATTCATACCAAAACTTTTGTCGTTTCACTTGGGAATCATATTTTTACCACCAAATTACCCCAAAAATGTTCATATCTTATGACAAATTTTATATGATATACCACAATAAAATTTTACTAAATGAATAAGATATAGTCATGTAGTTACTTTTTCATAATTATAGCATTCTGAAAGATTAAGTAGTCCTTTATTGATATCCCTGGGTATTTTAAAATCCGGTAACCGTTAAAAGTCTGATTTGAATGGACAAAATTTAACACCCCTTTATAAAAAAAAAGTTGTAAATAAGAGCAATTATAACAAGCATTCGGAGAGTATTGCATTCACAATACGATTCCCACGCCGGCAAGTGTAATCTGGTTCCCATTTAAAAATTGAAAATGCCGTAATTACGTCAAAAAATCATTGAAGCGGAACATAATACAAACTTGATCTATAACCCATCAAGGTAGACTCACATACCAAAAATCAGCTCATATCTATCTGAAAGCATCAAGGAAAAAAGTGCAGAAAACCCTTAAAAATTAAAAAGGTCGTAATTCCCTCAAAAATCATTGAAGCGGATCGAATTTGAAATTTGTATCTCATCAAGATACACTCACATATCAAAAATCAGCTCAATACCTCCAAGCGTTTAGGGAAAAAAAACGTGTGGAAAACCGTTAAAAATTAAAAAGGCCGTAATTTCCTCAAAAATCATTGAAGCAGAACGAAATCGAAACTTGGTCTGTAACTCATCAAGATACACTCACATACCAAAAATCAGCTCAATATCTACAAGAATTTAGAATAAAGTGCGGAAAACCAAGTGGGACAGACTGACAGACAGACGGAGGGACAGAAAGACAGACAGACGAGGAGGAAACCTATAGTTCCCTTCGGTTTCAACGGTTGGGGACTAATTAATTGACGCTGTTACTAAATTATTAATCAGTTACTAATCGTCTTCTTTGCTTTCAAAAAAGTCTTAATAACAAATCTGCAAACCATGTTGAATTATGTGTGTGTAAAATGTAGGCGAAAAACGAGGGTTAATGTTCGCAGTTCCTAGGAAATTTTATTTGAAGTTGCGCAGTGATTAGATCGGGAAAAGGTTCAATGAACAGATCAAGAAAAGGTTTCAGGTGCCAAAAGATTTAGATAATGTAGAGGAAGAGTAGACAAAATATTGGATGTGTACAGGGAAGCAGCATTGTATAAAATAGGAAAGCCAAAGAAACAGCATAAGCCATGGATCAGAAAGAAGACATGACAAAGTAAACCATGGATCAGAGAGGAGACATGACAAAGTAAATCATGGATCATAGAGGAGACATAGCAAGGTGAACCATAGATCAGAGAGAAGACATGACCAAGTAAACCATGGATCTGAAAGAAGACATGACAAAGTAAACCATGGATCAGAGAGGAGACATGACAAAGTAAACCATGGATCAGAGAGGAGACATGGCAAAGTAAACCATGGATCAGAGAGAAGACATGACAAAGTAAACCATGGGTCAGAGAGAAGACATGACCAAGTAAACCATGGATCTGAGAGGAGACATGGCAAAGTAAACCATGGATCAGAGAGGAGACATGAAAAAGTAAACCATAGATCAGAGGAAGACATGACAAAGTAAACCATGGATCATAGAGGAGACATGACCAAGTAAACCATGGATCAGAGAGGAGACATGGCAAAGTAAACCATGGATTGGAGAGGAGACATGACCAAGTAAACCATGGATCAGAGAGCAAAGACTGAACAAAAGAAAGAAAATGAAATATAGAGACAGTAATTCAGACAAATTGAAAGAGAGGCTAGGAAGGGAATATATAAAGACTTCTCAAGATGTAAAGAACAGTGTTATGAATTTAAAGAGAAAAGGCTGAAGATGCAGGAAAGACTTAGGAAATTGGATAAGAATAAAGCTATATACCATTACAAAAATGTTCAGCTGTAAAAATGAAACAACCTTTTAGAATGAAGGACAAAACAAAGAATGTTAAAAACAGAGATGATTGAAAGAAAGGGAAGGTGGGATCAGATTGAAACAATCATAAAAATGATAAAAGAGAGCTGTGGGAAATATAGGGAACATCTATACAGGAAAATTGACGGTAGGTAAGTGAGATTAGCTCTGAAAAGAATGCGAAATAGGGAGGCAAAAGGATTGGGTCAAAACGGAACTATAGTACAAGCAGATGTGGTAATAACCGCAGCTAGATTTGCGGAAATGTACAGCAAGATTGGGGGGGGGGGGGGGGGCAGATTGTGGCAAAAGACACGGAAAAGAGACTCATTGTATAAATAATGAATATGCAAGAATGCAACAACTAGAGTGGAGTGTGTTGCAAGTAATAAGAAAAGTGTTCTGCGGAATGATGATTGACCGGATTAATGAAAAAAGTGGTTTACAGAAAACATGAATAAGCAGACAAGGTTTAGAACAGGACGGTAACGGCAAAACATATATTTTGATTTTTGAAACATTTAAGAGCAAGTAACGAATGGAGAGCACCAGTTTACACTTACCAGTATTTTGTGACTATTAGTATAGGAAGGCTTTTGACTCGTTGCACAGATAAAGTTTAAGGATTTACAGAAATGTATTGGAATCATCGGGTTTCCAAACAAATCAGTAACGCAGTGCGAGGGCTATACGAATTCGAATGTGCAGTCATTGAGAAAATGAAATATCAAAATGCTTCCAAGTAGAAACCTGGATGAAGCAGGGTTGCGTTATGCCCGGGTTTCTTTTATTTAAATAGGGTGAGTAATGAAAATAAAAGCAGGAATGAAAAAAGGAATCGGGGATTTTACACCATAAAAGAGTAGAAGACATAAATTTTGCAGGTGACATTGCTTTTTTAGCATCAAAGTTTCAAGATCTGGGTGAAAAGATCAGGAAATAAATATCAGAAGCAGCAAGAATATGCCTCAAGTTAAATGCAAATATTAGTATGTAAAACACTTAGGAAGGGTTACACTAGGAATAAAGATATCACTTAATCTCACCTCTGGTGTTGCCACACGTCCGTGTTTTGCCCTATTTACGATTCTCTTTACAACATTTATATGATTGGTCATTGTTATCTTCACATTTTTCATTTTATATAAAAACAATGAGTTACAAATGAAGGATAAAATCAGCTGTGCAGTAGGAGATAAAACTTGATAGGACAAATACTGCAGGCGAGAAGGCAACAATGACTGCAAAATAGACCTAGGCTGGAGCAAGATGGAACGCATTGACGAGGAAGACCCAAGATCACTTTGAGAATATCAATTGAAAAAGAAAGAATTGCAGTCGGATGGTCAGCTAAAATGCCACCAAAGTAGCGGCTGAAAGAAAGAAAGCGTAACAGCTGACAAGGTCATTGTATCGACCAAAGAAGTTCTATGGTCGATATAATGACCTTGTCAGCAAATACAATCTATCATTTTAAAAGTCGAATATGCTGACTGACGTTTTTCATAAAACATGTAATTGTTAGGCCATTATTTAAACACTGAAATTGTCTACGGATTTTTTCGTTTGTCTGCATGACAATGAGCACAATGATGTGACCGGTCGACAGGGGATGCTTACTTCTCCATGGCACCTGATCCCACCTCTGATGTTTTAGAGATCCGTGTTTGACGTCGAAAAATGACTCACTGTCATCATTCTACGGTGATCATTAAGACGGAACATTTACTGACAAAATTGGAAATCTGCAGCTTACGTCATTTCCATCTGTTACAATCAAAACATTTAATGATAGATAATGGAATTGGCGGGTACAATTCGTCACGGACGTCCGAAAAAACATTGAATTGAGATTCTAGTTTGAAATTCATTTTCAATCCACTTCAGCTACGCTAGAAGGCACGATGTTACTGATTGACCCAGAAGACAGTTTTTAAAGAAATATAAAGGGACAAATATTTGATTTCTGTTTGGTATGTGCATGCGTGTGTTGGGGGGGGGGGGTAGGGGGGTTAGAGGGGGCTGAACGATCTTGGAAATCAAAAAAGAAAGTTTTTTTAGTTTGGACAACCCCTCCCTGTTTTTGTTTGTCAAACTTTTTTCGTTGAAGACAAAACTAAAGAAAATAGCTCTTGTCAACCTAGAAAAAATATATTCTGTCATGTGAAGGCATGATCTGATTCGACAATTTTTGACACACACACACCCCTTTCTAGAATCAAATGGTCGTCCCCTGAAAAAATAATCTCTGTCTTCTATGACTTTAATTTAACGTGTCCTTAAACAGTTAAAATTATAGGCTAAAAAACTCATATTAATATGAATTTCCTACAACATGTACATGTATTTGGGAATTAAAATTATTTGTCTTTTGGATCATACATTCGTACTTTGCGTTTGAAACAGCTCAGGTGGATTGAAAATTAATTTCAAACTAGAATTTCAAATCAATGTTTTCACAGACCGTCCGTGTCGAATAATACCCGCCCATTTCAGGGTCTATCATTAAATGTTTTGACTGTAACATATGGAAATGGCGTAAGCTGCATATTTCCAATCTTGCCAGTTACTTATTCGTCTTTACAATGGCGCCGGAAACAAAAAAATTCTTATTTGTGTCAGTCAAAAAAAAAAAGGGGGGGGGGCATTTATAGACGAGGAAATCAAATATAATACGTCCTTGCAGAGACATAAATGGTCCTTGTCGCAATTTTTAACACAAATGACAATTTCACTTCTAAAATATGAGTTTACTGCACATAAGAATTAATCCTTATTTAGGTAAGTAATAGTTTGTGCGTCACTTCGCCTGTTTCTATCGACGTAGGAATTCAAGTCGGGTTCGCTTTCCTTCTCGTTTGTGTAGTCTCAAAGCATAAGAAAATTATATGATTTTTTATTTAGAAAACCCCGTATATCAGCAAATCAAAATAATGCACTGATAAAATAACGTGACTACAAGACACATAGTAATTGTACGCGTCAACATACTGAGATACTATATTTTTTTTTAAGACTTCGTTTTGAGATTAAAGCACTGACAGATGGCAGAAGGGTAATTTTGCAAAACAAAAACACTTTCATTTTTAACACTAATTCTCAATTATGTGATCATTTGTTTTATAACTTAGATTGATTTCTTTCAATTCTAAAATTTTATTTTACATCCATGTTAATTTTTACATCATTTTACTATTATTCCGGACATACTCGTTATTTTTATTATTGGTGATCTACCATCGCAATAGAATTACAATAGAATTCGACATTTTGTCATTAGAGTTAATAAAATTCACTCGATGGACCAAGCCACAATAAGGCGTAGCTCATGGCCTGGTGAATTGAGTGAATTTTATGCCCTGTTCACACGGAGAGTTTAATTCGAATTAAACGTAAGTTACTGCGAATTAAATTTGATCCGCGTTCACACGGAGAATTTAATGCGAATTAGTTTAATTCGAATTAGTTTACTGCGCATTAAATTACTTCGCATTAGCTCCGTGTGAACGCTAAGCGAAGCTAATTCGAATTAAATTTTGACGCATGCGTAAGAGCAAAATTAAGTCACCTGCCACATGACGGTGGTCAGTTATAGGTACCTATGCCATTTTTAGTGCAAAACAAAGGAAAATTACGTTAATCACTGAAATGTGTATAGACACTATGACTATTATGTCAAATGGATTTGCTCTGCATAAGGTGACGTGATTTGAAAATGACGTCATAATAGCCTTACTGAAAAGCCTTACTGTAGAAATAAAATTTTAAAATTCGCATTAGTTTACTTCGCATTATCTGTCGTGTGAACGCAATTTAATTCGCATTATTTTAATTCGCATTATTTTACTTCGCATTAATTTACTGCGAATTAAACTCTCCGTGTGAACAGGGCATTAGTGACTTTATTAATAAAATTTCCGAACTCCTGCAGTAGAACCTGTTATGTAACGTCCGTGTTGTTTTTTTTATTTATCGTTGAAAAACACAATTTCTTTATCGTTGAAAAACACAATTTCTTTTACATCTGGCCATATTCCATTTATATAAATGTCTTACAGCTGATACCATTTGATATCGTTTGTATTTAGTGTGTGCATTTTTGTTGAAAATTGACAGACATAATTTTTATCCATTGCACAAATGCATGCATATAGCGGAATACATAAAATTGTGTGATGTACAGGCCTGTAAGCAACAAAAGAATGTCATTGACTCAGTACTGTAAAAGTTTGTCAATGGCATTGCTCAGTAGTTTGCTTTGTTCAGCAGATTAACAATGAATGATTTAGGAATGTCAAAATCCCCAAAATCTTTAATCCCAAAATCAGCCTTTATATGATATCTTTATATCTTCTTCTTTCTGTGTCTGGCCTCCTTCATTGAATTGAATATTCTGCCAGATGTATGCTCATGTTACAAGAAAGTTTAGTGTAGATATGGATAAGATGGACAACATTTAGTTTCAAAAGTGAATGGACTAATTGGCTTACGATTTTGAACATACATTGTATAACTATGCCCAGTATATTTTTAAAGGAAACTATTTTCATGAACAAAATATGTAATAGTTTTCATTTAAACAATATTTTTTTTTTTTGGGGGGGGGGGGGATCTTTTTTGCTTGTTTATTTGTTCTTGTTGTTTGGTTTTGTTTTTGTTTTTTTGTTGTTTTTTTTTTGGGGGGGGGGGGGGGGAGGGGGTATTAAAATAATTAAAAGGAATATCTGTATAGTTATATTTATAAAGATTATACACTAGCTGTATTAGGCTGCTTGCCAAACATTTAATAAATCATAACTCAGAGAATAAAAGACTGTAAGTTTACTGTTTTTAAATTTAAGTAAATTTGTATAAAATATTTCATAACCTAGCTACACTAGTTTGTTTTCTTTTTTATGAAAAACAAAAACTAAATTTAATGAAATATGGTGTTTTAGTAAAAAGCTACAGAATATAGTAATGTTATAACAAGCTTGACAGAAAAGATTACACAAAATGAACAAAATCTATTGGTAAAAAAAAAACCTTAAAAAGAAAATTTTGGCTTTTAATTAAGTTACCAAACTTAAAAACTCCAATAAACTAAAAGGAAAACTTTTATAAATGATGGAACAAGCTGGTTTTGGATAGAATATTTACCAATAATGCTTTCATTATACAAAAGGTCAAGTGGTAACGAAGAGGGGGGATGGTGGGGATATGGCTGGCTGCAGGCAGCCAAGGAAAAGGTTAGTACTTTGTATCTGATAATTACACAGGCAAAAGTGGCTCGCATAAATTTCGCATAAATGAATTTTATGTGAATTCTTTGCATGAGAAAGAGATGAAAAAGAATAAGACACATGAAATTTTTGTGAAAACTTTATCCGATTTTGATATAACATTCATAAGAATTTAATATGTATATTGCATAAGTATCATGCAAAGAAAACTTCTCAAGAAAAAAAATGTGAATATTGTATAAACCAATTCACATGATATTTGCATGAAAAAATATTTATATGATTTTTACATGATTTTCACACAATTTTCGATAAAAAGAAAATCACATAAATATCGTGAGCCACTTTTCCCTGTGTATGAGTTAATATTTCCCAAGTACATGTACAATAATGTAATGGTATTGTAACTGTTTATGACTTAAAGCAGTTATAAAACTGTACTGTGTAGTTATATAACTTGCAATTAATTTAATTTTGTGATTTTACTGTAATTCTAGTCAAAAGCAGCATTGGAGATGGTTCAGAAAGATCTGGCTGAGTACACATGTACTATGTCTGCAGATACCAGTAAAGCAGTGGCTAATACAAGTGACAAACTGAAAGATACTTTGAAGGTTTGAGACAATACTTATTAAAATTAAAATACATAAGTCTTTTTCACTACCAGTACATTTTGTAACCCCCAAAAGAACATGTTCTTACTTAATTATGTCTGCTAAATATCTGCTTTATTCTAACACAGACAGAAAACACATCTGCAGCAAAGGACAGATTGAAGAGTGGTGTTACCTCTTTCCTGGAAGGCTTGTCCAAAGCTTTAGTGATAGAGCCAGAGGACAAAGAGGAACCTGTAAAAAAGCCTGTCAGTTCTGAGGCAGTGTACGACAGGGCCAAGGCACGCCTTCACGCCATACAAATCGACCCAGAAACATACTGCAGTGAACCCTCAGGGTCCCCAGAGAAATTCCAAGAATGGCAGAAGTCTTTTGACCTAGAGAAACATAAAGGGGATGTTTCAGAACTACTTGTCTCAAAAGTGGAGCTTCGTGCATTTTATACAAAACTGGTAACTTGTCATTGCTTTTGGTTATCTCTCTATTACAGTAGAGTACACTTGTTTGTATCAATAAATGAGAAAAAGGTTAGTGAAATGTCCAAGAAGTAGTGCATATCTAAAAAACGAGACTCTAGAAGCCCGTTCACATTAAATTTTAGTCAGTAAAGAATATGCTACCCTCCCCTTCCAATGCTGCAAAGAAACATATCAAGACATTGCTGGAAAGTTTATTACTTAGAGGGAAGGAAACCTTTCTAAATATTGTGCCTAATGTTATTTACTATTGCTAAAGTAAGATCTTATACAAGGGTAATTAACCCCCCAATCCCACCCCCTCCCCCATTTGATTTTCTTAAGCTGTGCTCTGTCAGATATAAATATAAGGGTATAAACATAATATGAAATCAGACTTGTGAGTTTAATTCCAAGGTACCTGCTGAGATATCTCATGCTGACTTCTGGAAGAGGTATTTTTATAAAGTCCATCAACTTGAACAAGATGAAGCACGAAAACTGGCATTAATGAAGCGAGCTGAGCGGGCACAGAAGAAAGAAGATTCCATTAGCTGGGAAGGTAAAGATGATGCACCACTTTTAAAAGATCTGTGTACTTTTTTTATTTCAAAATTCAAATTTCCATGAAACTTGTTAATGATAGGCTAGTGACTGTTTTTGGCTAGGATTGTAAATTTTTCATGATTTAATACTGTAAACTTTTATTCAAGTGCAAGAAATAAACACAAGTTTTGTGACCTTCTACTCAATTACAGTATTTATGTATTTATGTCCAGTATTTCCCTAGTTGTGACATTAAATATCAGTAGTTGCGGATATACATATATTTCATGTTCACAAATCACAAATCACAAATAAGATATGTCTCGAAATAATAATGGTATACTTTAAATGTATTATATTTAGCATGTAAAATATTTGGCAGATATTGATTTTCCAACAAGTTAGCATAGACTTGATTAAGCACTTTCTGAAGGTTCTAAATATAAAGTATATGCACAAGATATTTAGAGAGGTACTTGATTTATTGGTAGTTGCTTTCTGCCAAAGGCACTAAATAGAATACAACGTCAGTGTAATGTTTATAGTATTTTTCTCGGCACCTTTTATACTAAATGAAATCGTTGGTTCCAAATGATTACCAGATAAATAGTTCTAATTTGTCAACTCCATATTTCACTCAGTTAATACAAATTCTGTATGATACTAGATGACTGGAGTGGAGATGAAGAATCCATTGCTGACAAAACTGATCGTAAACAGGAGTTAAGTGAGAGGCTATCACAACCACAGGAGGTAGTAAAAGATACAGTTCCCAGTGAGGAAATGAAGAGTAAGTCTGTAAATGTGGGACCTGATAATCTGACTGCTGATGAAAGCAGAGTCAATCCGCCAGAGCAGGACACAGATAAAGAACAAATATCAAGTGAGACAGTACACCCTCACACGTTAGATTCACCGGAGACAAGAAAATCAAAGGAAGAAGAGAGTGTGTCAGATGAAATCAGAGACCCAGAAATCACTACAGAAACTCATAAACAAACAGTAAAAGGAAGTGAACGTTCAGGTACAGACATTGTCAGTCATCCAGAAGAAAAGGAGAGTAAAACAGAGTTACCAACACCTGACGTATCGGAGGAAGAGGTCAAGACCAAGGACAAAGGGGACATGGTAGTAGTCAACCCTGACCGAGTGACCCCATCTTCCGATTCCAATAAAGGTAAATAAGATTGTGTGTACCTAGTGATTCCATGTCCTGATTTTAATGATGCTGGGTTGCAAATAACCACTCGCCCACTAGCAAGTGCTAGTAATTTTGTCTGTGGGTGACCAACTCTTGAAGAAGTATTGGCCCACCAAGATGAGTAAGAATTTTATCAGAACTTTTCCAGAACCTGGCCATGATTTAATTCTACAGTTAAATGCACTTTTTCACTGTTTCCAACCTACAAAATGTTTTCTAGACCCTGAATCTCTTTAACATCATGATTTTGCGAGGTCTCGAAATGAAGAAAATTATGAAAATTTCATGCAATATCATTTATGGTGTTTCAATTATTCAGGGAAATGAAAGATTGTGGACAAAAAAGTATACTTCTCAGAGATTAAAATACAAAAGGATCGAGAATTTCTTACAAAGTGGATAGAAAATTGTAGGCCCCATTTAAAATATCAATGTGGGCCTGTAAAACTTGTAAAGTTGGGGGTCCATGTGGCTATTAAGATTTGAAATGTTATTTGCAACCTTGTGATGGTATATATATAGGTTTGTTAGCTAAAGTGACCCATCTGATGATTTTAATAAGGATTAATATAGTTACCTGAATGTACCGGTACACTGAATAGGTGTGTAAATTTTTTTAATATACAGTGTTGTAGTATGTATACTGTAGATTCCCAAATATATGCAAGGAATTAAATATTGTGTAATTTTGCGAGAAGTATTACTCGCGAAATAAAAATTATTTTAATGGTGCTATAATCCATGTAAGATCTCTAAATCAAACATCTACTCCATATTATTGTTCTCGCCATGTGACGTCTAAGGGCCATTTTGCAATATAAAGTACTCGCGTAAAATAAGGAATCTACAGTATGATAAAAATTTCCAGTAGGGGGTTTATATCAAGAGAAAAGTTTCTCCTTTTTTCAATGTTATTCTTTAGTTACTGCATTCTCCTCAGTGTAGGCATGCTAATAGTTTTGTTTGATGACCCAGAACAGAGAACAATACAGATGATGATTGGTATTCTCTAATTACTGCATTCTCCTCAGTGTAGGCATGCTAATAGTTTTGTTTGATGACCCAGAACAGAGAACAATACAGATGATGATTGGTATTCTCTAATTACTGCATTCTCCTCAGTGTAGGCATGCTAATAGTTTTGTTTGATGACCCAGAACAGAGAACAATACAGATGATGATTGGTATTCTCTAGTTACTGCATTCTCCTCAGTGTAGGCATGCTAATAGTTTTGTTTGATGACCCAGAACAGAGAACAATACAGATGATGATTGGTATTCTCTAATTACTGCATTCTCCTCAGTGTAGGCATGCTAATAGTTTTGTTTGATGACCCAGAACAGAGAACAATACAGATGATGATTGGTATTCTCTAGTTACTGCATTCTCCTCAGTGTAGGCATGCTAATAGTTTTGTTTGATGACCCAGAACAGAGAACAATACAGATGATGATTGGTATTCTCTAGTTACTGCATTCTCCTCGGTGTAGGCATGCTAATAGTTTTGTTTGATGACCCAGAACAGAGAACAATACAGATGATGATTGGTATTCTCTAGTTACTGCATTCTCCTCAGTGTAGGCATGCTAATAGTTTTGTTTGATGACCCAGAACAGAGAACAATACAGATGATGATTGGTATTCTCTAATTACTGCATTCTCCTCAGTGTAGGCATGCTAATAGTTTTGTTTGATGACCCAGAACAGAGAACAATACAGATGATGATTGGTATTCTCTAGTTACTGCATTCTCCTCAGTGTAGGCATGCTAATAGTTTTGTTTGATGACCCGGAACAGAGAACAATACAGATGGTGATTGGTATTCTCTAATTACTGCATTCTCCTCAGTGTAGGCATGCTAATAGTTTTGTTTGATGACCCAGAACAGAGAACAATACAGATGATGATTGGTATTCTCTAGTTACTGCATTCTCCTCGGTGTAGGCATGCTAATAGTTTTGTTTGATGACCCAGAACAGAGAACAATACAGATGATGATTGGTATTCTCTAGTTACTGCATTCTCCTCGGTGTAGGCATGCTAATAGTTTTGTTTGATGACCCGGAACAGAGAACAATACAGATGATGATTGGTATTCTTTAGTTACTGCATTCTCCTCAGTGTAGGCATGCTAATAGTTTTGTTTGATGACCCGGAACAGAGAACAATACAGATGATGATTGGTATTCTCTAGTTACTGCATTCTCCTTGGTGTAGGCATGCTAATTTTTGTTGTTATGTCCCCCTACAGAGAACAGTACAGATGATGATTGGGAGAGAGACTTTGATGTAGAATTAACAGAGGAGGAACTAAAAGCTGCAGATGAAATAGCAAAGAAGCTTAACTTATCAGCTGCCGACTACACCAGTATCTCAGGGGACATTGTAAGTGTAGATGTGATTTTCACAAATGGTAGAATGTAGTGGAGTGCTTTCTTCTCATAATTTTTTTATATATATAAAGAATGGCAAGCCAATTTCACAAAAATTAGTGAAACTTAGTTTCACAGTTGATAAACTAGGTTTATCGACTGTAAACTATAGTTTACAAACCGTGAACTATAGTTAATGATTCGTTAACTATAGTTTTCATCTGTAAAACTATATTTAATGGTTGTTAACTATAGTTTACGAATGCTAATCTAAGTTTATCTGTCTGTAATTAAACGTTAACAATAGATTTTGTTGATAAACATAGATTCACATCTGTAAACTATAATTTACAATCGTGAACTATAGTTAAGAGTTGTTAATCATAGTTTCACAAATTGTGAAACTATATTTATCTATGGCACGCCAATTTCACAAAAATTAGCGAAACTTAGTTTCACAGTTGATAAACTAGGTTTATCGACTGTAAACTATAGTTTACAAACCGTGAACTATAGTTAATGATTCGTTAACTATAGTTTTCATCTGTAAAACTATATTTAACGGTTGTTAACTATAGTTTACGAATGCTAATCTAAGTTTATCTGTCTATAATTAAACTTTAACAATAGATTTTGTTGATAAACATAGATTCACATCTGTAAACTATAATTTACAATCGTGAACTATAGTTAAGAGTTGTTAATCATAGTTTCATAAATCGTGAAACTATATTTATCAGATAAACTATGTTTTACATTCGTTAACCACAGATTTCGGTTGTAAACTATAGTTAACTGTCATTTATACTCACAAACTATATTTAACAGACGTAAACTATACTTATCGATCGTAAACTATAGTTTTGAGAGCTAAACTATGATTCACATTTGCCAATCATAGTTTATCGTAATAAACTATAATTCACACTCGTAAACTATAGTTAAGAGTTGTTAAATATAGTTTTTGAATCTAAACACCTGTTAACTGTTAACGATAGTTTTCAATTTGAAATTTCGCAGCACCAATCGCGAGAAGCAATAATGGGGTATAGGTTTTATCATTGCGGAGAATATTAAGGACACATGTTGGGCATTATCTAAAGCAAAGACCGAGTTATATATCATCTATTTAAACAGGATTAATTGTATTTGTTTTAAAATGTCGTGTATATATACATTTCCTATGGGGAAATTTTTAGAAATATGATAAAATTTTAATTTTTTAAAAGACAGAATATTACGAGATTTTTGCTCAAGCAAAGGAGGGTGAAGCGCATTTTACAATGTGCCAAGCATTTTCCTGCCACATCTCATCACCAAAACAAAGAAACTGAAAGAGAGGAAATGCAGTGGCGGATATAGATAGGGTTGTGGGGGTTTCAACGTCCTCCTTTGAATTTAAGAGAGAGAAAATGAGAGAGAAGTCCCAAATATTTGTTGTGTTTGTTCCGTGAAAGGCCACTTTTATTTATGTATGAAGAAAATTCGGTTGTTGAAAAACAGATTCTGCAATGTTACATGTACTGTGTTATGTCTTTATTTACAGATGAATATAAGATATACATGTATTTTATTAATGACAGATCACGCATTTCGGTCTCTATTTTTCTCTTTTAAATAAAAAAAATAAAATTTTAATCAATAATTTTCCAGTCATTTTTCTTTTTATTTCCAACTAGATTTGCTTTAAAATAAAAGAACATTTACTTATAATGCCAACAAGAAATATACATGCATATATATTTAACAACAATTGTCGTTACATAGCAAAATCTTATAATGCTGTAACTAGGATTAGCTGATCTATAATTTACAAAAAAAAAAAACTATTGTTAACTATAGTTTTGATTGTAATCTATGGTTTAGAGTCGTGAAATCTAGTTTCACAGAAAATTGTGCATCTCCGATACAAAATAAGAGATTCTGTTCCTAAACTGTGTTTCTCAAGTGTAAAACTATGTTTATCGCATTTTTGTGAATTTGGCGTTTTGTATGTCTGTAAAGTATACTTTACAAAGCCTAAACTATAATTTACATTTGTTAAGTATAGTTTAGAGTTGTAAATCATAGTTTACAAATCGTGAAACTATATTTATCAGATAAACTATATTTTGCAGTAGCAAATGATTGTTTTCCGTGTTAATTATAGTTTACGCTTGTGAAACATAGATTATCGTGTAAACTATAGTTTACATATGTGAAATATAGATTATCATCATTAACTATAGTTTACGGTCTGTAAACTATAGTTTACAGTCGATAAACCTAGTTTATCAACTGTGAAACTATGATTAGCTCATTTTTGTGAATTTGGCGTGCCATAATAAAGACTATCCCCACTCTTATGTAGAACAAATTTTATACTTCAACACCATATTGATAACTTTCTAACTTTGATGTATCAGAATGATGATGCACTCTAAGAAAAACTTGGAAGGACTGTTTACCCATTGTCATTTACAGGCTTGTTTTTCGCCTGCTCTGCACTTTTTCCCAAATTTTAAGTGGGCCGTTAGAATAAATGCACTCACTTTTAGCGAAGTGCCAGTGATGAACAATTTTGATTCAGTATAAACATAATTTGTTTGATCCCATTAGTAAATAATGTTTTAAAACCAGAGAAGGGGTATTTTTGAAATGTATTTGATAAAAAATACATGGAACTTTCAAGATTCTGTGTAGATTATATATTTCCTGCCCTGTGTTGTGATTTCATAATTATGTATTTTTCTTCACTTTATAGGAAGAAGACTGGGAGAGCTGGGAGTGAAATTGCTTGATCTTATCATTTTATATATATATTTTTTATTATTGTTATTATATTTTGTTAAGGTATCTGTGTTATGGGAATTGTATCATTTGTAACATTATTCATATAAACATTTATGCCATAATAATGTGTGTATTATGAATAAATAAGTGATTTATTACCTCCACAATCAAATTATGTTTAACACATAATGCTTTGCATTTCAGAGTAAACTTCAACACATAATGCTTTGCATTTCAGAGTAAACTTCAATACTTGTAAAATATTTTGTGAGAAGATTGTTTGCATGAAAAACAAGGATTGAAATATTTCTTACAATAATTCAGTATTATTTATTTATTGAAGCTCTGATCATAAAAATTGTACATCTGCTAGCAAGGGACCTCCATTTGTGGATGGGTGGGCAATGCAGGGCAAGATATATCATTAAAAAATATTCTTTGAATGCAGACACAGGAATTGCTTTTCTTAAGAGAAACAAACTGACTGGGTGCCTTCCCCCAGTTATTCTTGTTGCCATACTTGTAAAAATATATTCAATGTTCATAATTTCATTGGGAAAAATTCATTGTCTTTTTCCAGGCAGACCAGATTTTCATAGTGTAAAATGATGAATAAAATCCGTTCCAAATGCACTTGTATGTATTGTTATTAAAAGATGCATTTCTCACAGTTTGATGTCATGTATATGGTTAGATTTTTAATTTAAATTCATACTGTGAATGAGTATTCAAACCAATACATTAGCGACTTCACAGGAAGATGATTGAATTCAGTAAGAAAGTGAAGGTTACATACACAACTGCATGATCTATGGATCTTGAACAAGTGATACAAAATACAGTCAAGATAGATCTTAAATTGTCAAGATAGACTTACTTGATGCTTGTCATTTTAATCGTTTTTGATCAAGCAATTGTTGTGTGTCATTACCTTAACCCAAGGTCATACAAAAATATGAAAGGTCAAGGCAATGTTGGATAACTAATAACTGCAAGGAGCTGTTTTACCCAACATTGCATTTATAAAGATACATAGTTTATGACTTCATACATTTTTTATTGCATTAGCATCCAGGGCTGCATGATCAATATTTATACATGTAATATAATTTTAAAGGTCAATGTAATTCGTAGTGTAACCTTGACCAATAAATTTCCTCTTAAAAGAACGAAACAGCATGACTCAATTTATGTGCTACTCGCAAAACCGATACTTGCTCTAACCTCAAAGATGAGCCTATACTCATTGTTTCAACTTTACACCTTGCAGTTCTCTTACACACTATTCTTTGAAGGAATTGTAGTTGCTCTCTTCATCATTTGCTAAATTTTGAGGCAACTCTTGCAAAATGCTGAAATTAATTTTTCTTTCCAAATGTTCACAACAACATAAAATTCGTCAACTGACTGTTTCCAATAAAATTTAAGAAAATATATTGTCTTGAAGACTGAAAAATCAATCAGATTGTGGGATCATTGAGAGAGAAATGCAGAAGCAGGATTTCTTTTGAATTTTGTTTCAGGATAGGCCACACATTAACAAAGAATGATAGCTCTAGTTTGTATACTGCAGTTTCATCATTTTTTCATTGAAAACCAATATCCATTTTTAGCTCACTTGTACTGAAGGTTCAAGTGATTTTTTTCTGATCACATGTCCCTCCATCTGTTAACTTTTCACATTTTCTACTTCTTCTCCAGAACCACTGGTCCAATTTCAACCAAACCTGCCATAAAGCATCCTTGGGTTAAGGGGATTCAAATTTGTTTAAATAAAGGGCAATGTTCTCTTGAAAGAGGAGATAATCAAGAAAAGGCAAAGCAGGACATCTTCAAATGATTTTCAGGTTTTCCACTGAAGATTAAGGACTTGAAAAAGAAAGACAAGATTTGTACATTTTTTCTACTAAAAACTGACAATGTTATCAAATTAATAAGCAGTCCTAAAACTAAACTAAAGTATTGCAGTTTGCTAAACACTGTGTTAGACTGCCTAGATTAAAACATCCTACAAAAGCCTAATTATTTCAAGCACAATCATAGAATATGTACAAAAAGCCAATTTAATATGAGGATATTCACTGATATGCATCTAGCAATTAATATGAGAATTTAAAGTTACTTGTGCATCACAAATACATGTACACTGTACATCAACTCAATATTCAGGGCCTATGGCACTAAAAAACCTCCAATACAAGAATTTGAATGATCTAATATAATAAATATCTCAGATTTACATGTAAACATTTTATATGGTAACTTTTGCATTTGACTTAATTACTGATCACAATTTACACTTGGTATACAAATCAAATTAATGTATACAATTAGAATAAAATATAATATATTACCAAGTTTCCCCAAAATAAATGACAGATACCAAAGAGTGACTCAATACTTCCTCCCTCTTCACAGCATTCCATGTACATATATCACAATTTCACAGTCCTGACAAGAATTGTACACTTCAACTAGCTTCTTTGACTTTGACCTAATGACACTTGTTTATAAATATTGTCATGATATACAGTCAAACTTCATTATCCGGAACTAGATGGGACTGAGAGAAAAACTTTGAGGTATCAAGAAATTCAAGATATTGAGGGTAAAATAATTAAAGAAAAAGTGCTTGGGACTTCAACATATCCATGGTATTTGAGATACTGATGTTCAAGATACTGAAGTTCAACTGTAATTACATCAAATATGACTTTCTAACATTTTTACATTTCCAATATGGCACAGTTTACAGATGATAAAAAGAAGGGGAGGGGTCATACTTAATGAATTTCCTACACCACATGACATTGTACATTACAATATAATCACTGCACAACTTTTCACTATTCATGTACCATACCGGTATATATGTAAGTTTGTTGCATGCATTCTAGATGTGACTAAAGAACTATTTGGAATGATCTAATTTTTTTCTTTTGCCTGATTATACGGCTATTGTTGAAGGCTCATCTATAAATAATAATCTGTTTTCCCCTGTTGACCTTGTGACAGGTGTACTGACAACAGGCTTCATGATTGGTCCACTAGCATTACACACCCTCTCTCTGTCCACATGGTCTGGGGTGACTATGGGAGAAAAGATGGGGGTGTTTTCTACAGACCTCAGAGCTGTTCTGGTGTCTTTTCCACTGAAATTCTGACCTTCTCTTGTAAAGGAGGAGAATCCAAAATCACAGTCACTAGTGCCCCCATACTGACTTCTACAGCTGAAGTCTGAAGCCACTTCTCCATCCGAGTCTGTGTCTGAGTAAGCATAACAAGAGTTCTTCAGGGCACTGACTCGAGTTCTGGGTTTGGTGCATTTTTTTTTATATGTTGTCCTAGCTTTTCTTCCTTTCTTATTCCTGTTTCTTGAAACTGGGGCTAGGTAGCATTCATTTTCACCTATGATTCTATTTTCTTTGTCTTCATGTGCAATTTTACTTTTCGTTCTGCATGGAATATCCAGATTTTTCTCTCTCTTTTCTGGAATGGTGTAGAACTTTCTATCTGTTTTATTCTGTGTAGTATTCCCATAGCCCTGGGATCTAAATTTATAGGGAGATTCCATTAAATCAGTTATATTTAGGTCATCCTTTCCTTTGACAAGTGAAACACTGCTCGAGACATGATCACTGCATCTTTCTCTAAATTTGTATGGGGATTCCTTCAGCTCCAGAACCTGTAGCTTTTCTAATTGCAGCATAGAAGGAACAACAGGAAACTGAGAGTTAACAGCTTTAGGACCTTCAAGGTCACTCAGTTCAAGTCTACTAGAGTTAAATAGGTCAACACTTCTTCCAAGTCGATGAGGAGATGTTTCAATGACACTGACTTGAAGTGGGGAAACATTGTTCTGTTGTGAATTGGAATCATTGATCTCTTTGCAGCTTTCTACTGTGATGCTGTGCTGCAATGGAGCATCCATGAAAGGACTTGATGAATTCAAAGAATTCTTCAGGTAACTTGTATCTGAATCACTCATTAGGTAGCTTAAACCTGGTAAAAGTGACTTTCGTATGGAGGTACCATCTCCTGTATAATCTGTGCCTACTGGAGATGATGAACTTGATGTGTGACTCATCATCAATGCTCTGTTTAAATTGATATGGCAGTCAGTCTTTGGAACACAGTCTCTTCTGTTGTAAGAGTTGACACTTTGGTTCACATTAGTTTCTGCTTCCTCAGAATAATGGTATCCACTGTCATCTGTACTCTTTTCAGAGGAAATTCTGCCCAATGAATGGGACCTTTGGGTCACATTAATAAAAGGAGGGGAACTTCCGCTTGACTGTTTGTTATAGGACAGTCTTTTAGGAGTAGTGGCATCAGAAATTTCACAAATATGATACATATAACTTTTCCCATGTAGTGCTTCCCTAATTCTTTGTTTGTAAACTAATTCTGAAATATCACCTTCATCATAAAATACATCATTGTCATTTGGCCAAGGAAATGATGAATTTTGTGGATCAGTAGTTTCAGACAAAGAGGAGATGAACCTTCTGCTGTGACCAGGTGCTGGGAAATGCAGAGATGAAATATCAGCAAAGAACTCGGACAACTCTGATGGCTCTGCATTATCCCATGATCCAGTCTGGCTTTGTGAAGTCCACTGACTTCTTGATGTTCCACTATAATTGGCTCCATCCCTCTCTCCAGATACTTCTGAATTGTACTGAGAGTCACTAAATGTGGTGCTGTAATGGCTAGTTCTAGCAGAAGAATTCCTTCTACTACTTATCACTGAATCACTGGGTGCATCAGGACTGGTCATGTAGAATGAGTTACCTTCTCTTGATCTTGGAGAAATCCCATGTTGCTGGGAATCTTGTAAAGCTCTAGAATTCTCTAGAGTAATTCTCTGCTGTGATAGTTCCCAAAGTTTTGCTGGGTCTAATGGCGACATTGATATTTTCTTCCTGTTGTACTCAAAGGAGGAATTTCCGCTGCCAGGCACCCCCGCACCCTCTTTCCCACTCCTCAATCTCTCTGTACTACTCTCCCTATGAAAACTTTGGAGAGAAGGCTTTTCCTCAATGTAATTAATGGAGGAATTTTCAATACTTGATTTCACGTAAGAATTGTTACAGCTTGGTACACTTCGTGGGCTACCTTGTTGTTTACTAATATATCCACTGGGAGAAACCTGATCAGGAGAAAACGTTTGGTTGACTTCTGCTTTGACTTGATACCTGGGTGACTTTGTTGTTTTGGCTGTTGAGGATATCAGCTGCTTTGTGCTACTTGAGCTAATATATGACACTCGGCCAGACTCTATAGTCAGGTTACCTTCTGATTCCTGCATGGAAGACTCAATGCTTGGGGCTCTGTGATAAGTCGAAAGAGATTCTCCACTGAAAAACTGTGCAGACGTCTTCTCTGGAACTATGTCAGGTATGGAGGAATTTAAAGACATCTGTACACTGTTGTTCTGTCTGTCACAGCTACTTAGGTTAACTGATGTAGTCAGCCATTCTGATATGCGAAATGACGATTCTGGAGTGTTGAATAAAGTTTTCCCCTGCTCTCTGCGCTGAAAAAAAATGACAAAGATACTGATTATTGAACAGCCAATATAATACTCACTAAAATCCAAAATCTCAATATTCTCAGCTTTTCTTCCTATTGTATTCCATATTCATCTAGGTTCAAGATTGTATGCACATCACAATATACTATGAATACTGTTTATACCTTCATGGTGGCTATACGTTTGAACCAATTAGTTTCCACTTCTTTTTCTCTTTTCACTTTTGGCATGGATGGGTGACAGCAACGGTAATACATAAACATCATAACTGAACCTGCAGGTATAATGTTTAACAAAAGTTGAGCAGTTATACTTCAGTACAGTGGGGTTTTTTAAATACATCTATCACCATGAAAATAAACAAGAGACCCATGGCCCACAATGCTTACCTGAGTAACTGAAGCCCTGCTATTCCTCATCAGATTTTTGAAAGATTTTTTCTCCTTTACATTCCCACAAAAAATTGTGACCCCATATTACCCCCCCCCCCCTAATTTGAAGGGATCTCTGAGTAACACACAACATGGGGGATGATTCAATATCAATATGTCTAACATGACCATGCTTACAAAAAATAATGTCAGTTCAATATTTTACAAACTATGATCTTTAAAAATTTGTTATAAATGAGATGTGAATTTCATCATTTTTAACCTCTAGGGGACACAAAATTAGGCTTCTATATCCGTAGATTTGTTATAAAAGATGTGAATTTCATTATTTTTAACCTCTAGGGGACACAAAATTAGGCTTCTATATCCGTAGATTTGTTATAAAAGATGTGAATTTCATTATTTTTAACCTCTAGGGGACACAAAATTAGGCTTCTATATCCGTAGATTTGTTATAAAAGATGTGAATTTCATTATTTTTAACCTCTAGGGGACACAAAATTAGGCTCCTATATCCGTAGATTTGTTATAAAAGATGTGAATTTCATTATTTTTAACCTCTAGGGGACACAAAATTAGGCTCCTATATCCGTAGATTTGTTATAAAAGATGTGAATTTCATTATTTTTAACCTCTAGGGGACACAAAATTAGGCTTCTATATCCATAGATTTGCAATATCAGAGTTAGTTTTACAAGGTTTTGTAAACAGTTTCTGTGGGGATTTCAAAAAACATTGCTATATCTGTAAATTTCCTATATCCGTGTTCATACTAAACAAGTTTTACTGTTTTACCCCCATCCTACCCCTGGGGCCATGATTTGAACAATTAAAATCTACGTCATGTCAGGAAGCTTTCATATAAGTTTCTCCTTTTCTGGCCCAGTGGCTCTTGAAAAGAAGACTTTCAAAGAATTATTGCTTTATATTCAAATGTACAACTTTGAAACACTATTGAGGTCCCACCCAAATTATGTATTCAAACTCTACCCATCAAAAATAAAAATTATGTTAAAATGCTGGTACATACTGAAAAAGAATTGTATCCTTATTAATATAAAAAAAAACTTTATTATACTGCATACCTACGACAAATCCTCCATAAATGACAGTGGGTGTGGTAATGCTCAACCAATCAGGAGAGGTGTTAGGTTTATACAGGAACCATAGGATAATCAGGACGGAATTTTCCATCAATGTAACAATGTAGTAAATGGTTTGTCTTTTACGAGAGGGGCCATCTTTCAGGTTCAGAAAGCAGAAAATGTATATGAAGCCAGACACGGCATTAAAGATTCGCTTCTCACATGCCGTGTCTCCAAAGTCAGCATTCTGTAGCGTTATCCAGGCAGTCATCACCAGCCAGTGTATACCTAAAAATATAGGCATTTATATATCCATAAAATTGAAATATACATATATGTATGCACATTTCACATTTCTTTTTTTCTCCAAAAACAAACAAAACAAACTCTAAACTTGAGAGCCAGTGAGCTTCCATGTATTTATAGATTATTTTCAAAAAAGAAACTTGAATTCTCATTTTTCTGAAAGACAACACATTCTTGCAATGACTTCATAAATAATAAATCATAAAAAACAAACTCCCACCTAAAACCAAAACTATCCATTCTTTAAAATGTGAAGCAAACACAACAATGGCTAACACTCTGCCACTGATCATGGTGATCTGCCACAGAGTTAGAACAAGCATGGTAAATCCACTTCTCTTGTAGTCAGACTGATAGGCCAGGCGTAGACCATCCATGTAGGCTGACACAGACCAAGCAATAGACGTCAGGGAAAAGAAAGTGGACATTCCTCATAAAAAAAAAAAAAATTATGTGGTGAAGAATGACACGAATCGTGCATACTGCAGCCATGTTATAGAAAATACTTGTGGATCACGCTGTCTTTGTGTTTAAATAAAAAGCATGCGCTGATTAATGTAAAACATAACAAAGCATTTATAAAAGTATTTTGTATTGGCAATTTTTTTTTAAACACACTAACTCCTTTACAAACTTTTTTATGTGATGCATTACCAATTATCCAATCAAAATGCTGGAATGAAATAATGATGTAGAGCTGAAGTATAAGTTGTGGTGCTGATTCTAGGAAGGACTCAAACAGACGAAGTAAGCAGACATCATTGTTAGCACTGTACACAGCTTCAATATCCTCTTGACTCCCTGTTCTTCTGGACTTTATTCCAAGCTTCAAAACTCTCCAATATCTAAATAAGGAAAGTGTTTATGCAAAAAAAAAACATTCATTCTTTAAAAGTTCAGTGACATAAGTCAAGGACATCTGCTAGGGAACAAGTGAGGGACATTTTTAGTACAAAGCAAACATACATAACATTAAAACTTACATTATACCATTGCTAGTTTCAAGTTTCTTGAAAACTACATGATAGACTTAATTTCCACTTATACAGAATGTTGCATACCTGTGTAAAGGAGCCAAGAAGAATGCATGAAGGAGGAAGGTCTTCATTGTCATGGTACCATCAGTAACATGCCAACAGAAACTGAAAATCTGCATGGCAAACGTTGACAGGGCAACCAGAGCCAAGGATACAGCTCCCCACACAGCACTGCCATCCAGGAAAAACAGCACGATCACAGCAATATCTAATAAACAAATAATAAACAAATAAAAAGCACAATCACAGCAATATCTAATAAACATAATAAACAAATAAACAGTGCTATCACAGCAATATCTAATAAACATATAATAAACAAATAAACAGCACCATCACAGCAATATCTAATAAACATATAATAAACAGTGCTACATGTCAATATCTATTAAATTAACAGCATTTTAAGACTTAGTGGTGATTGGCAGCAGTTTCATTAGCTGTAGATTTAAAACCTTTTAATATGATCACTACACAATCAATATATTGTAACACTCTTTGGTTATTTACCAATATTTACAGGAGCCCTTGAAAGAAACTGTCTTTGACATATGCATATACTAGTTAGTATATACTAAGTTAGTTAAACATTGATTATGTTAATCTTTTGTTCTCATTGTCCAAATACTCATCTATAGCATTAGGAGTCAAATAATAATATTATAACTGGACAAGGAAAAAATGCAACAGACCAGACCAGGATTCGACCTGGACCCCCCGCATTATTAGGCAGTTGCTCTACCAACTAAGCTATATGGCCACCTGGGATTAAACCCTTCTGACTGCCACATTTCTTCCTTCTTATAGGTATTCACCAATGAAGACACCAAACCAGGCTTTCCAGGGCATGGAACAGCACCCAAATGTAACCAACAAGGATAAAAATGCAATGTACCAGACCAGGATTCGCAAACGGCCCCAAATCATTACTGTGACTAGTCAGGTGCTCTACTGAGCTATCTGGCTACCAGCAATAAAACCCATTTGAACACCACAATACAAAGCAGTCCCATAATATATCTTATCCGATTTTAGCGATTTTTATTTGTTATAGTTGTACAAGCTACAGCTGTTGTAGGATTCTTTCAGGTGAGGTAGTTTTTGAAATAGCAATGATTTAAGAATGATAAAGGACCCAAATCTAACGATTTAAAAAAAGATATATAACACTTGTATTCAGCATAAATTCATTTACTAATAGCGATCTATACCGATCTTACTAGTGCAGGTAAACTGCAGCACAGGAGTAGATTGTATTGCACAGATGTATTCTACAACCAGTGGATGACTGAATTTACCTGAAAGAACGTCCAAAATATATGAAACAAATGACAAGATCGTCACAAATATATCATATAAACTAAAAGCTTTCCTGTACATGATGAATAATTATTTAACTTTTCAAAATTTGGCGCACAGTTGCAACCATCTTGGATAAAACCAAAAATAAAATCCTCATATTCCGGAACCAACAATCCGGAATTTTTTTCAATTCTAAAATTATTGAGCGTAAAATAATTTCCGGTAAAAAACAATGTGTGACTGCGTCACACTGTGTGTCAAAAACAGTGAAAAAAGGCATGATTATAACTCTTTTTTGAAAAAATTGTATATAAATTAAGGAAAAAAGTAAGTAGAAACTTAATTAATTAAAACCACAATGTATGCAATGTCAAATTTTATTGATCATGACATGACATCAAAGATTTTGTTGGGAGTCATTCCACAGGCATTTGTCAGTGTTGGTACTTGTATTGTATTCAGATATACGAAACAAATGCCTGTGAGTCATTCTCATAGAGAAGTGTACAGGCAGGTATCGGGTACGTTCGCCCTATCTACCTGTTCGCATGAGTCTGTTCGCGCAGGGTCCGTTCGCCATAACAGGTCTGGTACAATCACTAGATTTAGCTACGTAGCTTGAATAACCTACATAGCTTTATTTACCTACCTGAAGTAGCTTTATTTAGCTACTAAATCAAACTTATTTCTTACATTAGCATTTTTCCCAGAAAGTGCAAAAATTGCACTTTGATGCAGTGATAATTTTCAACTTTGAACTCATCTGAAAACAATTCATGAAAAAATCACTCTTGGAGATGTGTCTTTTTCTGCGCAATTGAAATCAAAGTTCTAAAAGTTTTTGGGCTATATTCAACAGTTAATTTGTGACCTAACAGTTACTTCTTGAGTGAAATAACAAAGAAAACCAGTTTTGGTTAACACCAGCACAATGTGAAGTAATCATACTTATCCACGCCTCATCGCACACAAAGTAGTGTACAGTTGCTCAAACAATGGAAATACATATTTTCCTTCAAAGTGTTCAAACGCAGCAATGTTAAAACTATCTCTGCTTTAGACTGCTTTTTAAATAATACCTAGAATATATATTAGTAGACATATTCTTGCGACTTTTTGTCTTTTTAAAATAAAAAGCAAAATTATGAAAAGTTGTCTTGAAATAGCTAAATAAAGCTACCTGAGGTAGATAAATAAAGCTATGGTAGGTAATTTTAGCTATGTAGCTAAATATACTGATTGTACTGGACCTGCATAAGTCTTGTTTGCTCTATATCTTGTTCGCCCTATATCTCGTTCACCCTAATATATATACAGTATATAGCAAATATTAACATTGATTATTAATTTAATTCAATATTTTACGACTTGGTGTTTTTTATGCCCCCGGATCAAAAGATCCCGGGGGTATATTGTTTTTGTCCTGTCTGTCTGTTTGTCTGTTTATCTGTTTGTTTGTTTATCTGTTTGTCTGTCTGTCTGTTGTCAACTTTAACCTTGACCATAACTTTTGATTGGTTGGAGCTATGACTTTCATATTTCACATGTGTATTTCTTGTGACAAGACCTTTCTTTGGGTACCATCATATTTGACCTTTTGACCTTGACCTTGGAGTTTGACCCACTTTAACAAAATTTTATGAGACTTTAACCTTGGCCATAACTTCTGAACAGTTGGTGCTTGGGGTTTCAAACTTCACATGTGTATTCCTTACAGGGTTGGCAAAAAACTGGGAAATACTCTTATTTCCCAGGACGGTGGGAAATACTGGTAATTACCGGGAATTACTGGTATTTCCCGGGAAATACTTGGAAATAAGAAATAGGTACATATTTCATTCATATTGACATGTAGTACACCTTATTGGCTAAGATATCTACCTTGTATCACTGTTCCCGATTTAAAAAATTCTAGTTTCCAAGTAATTCATTTTATATACATGTAATCATAACACAGTATATTCATATACCAATCATGAGTGCTTGAGTCAGATGTAGTCTATAAAGGTCCATGGAATGAACACAAAGATCCCAATTGGGTTTTTATGTAACTAAAGAAGGATCTAAGAACATTATTAAATGTAGAGTATGGTATGAATATCAAATCTGAGAAGAAGCCTTTAGTTTTACTCAAGGTAATTATGTTCCCCAAACGAAGTTTGGGAACATATTGTTTTTACTCTGTTTCTTATTATTATTATTATTAAGGTCTTCCGTCTTCACGGAAGACCTTATAGTGATTCTATTGTTTCTTATTATTATTATTCTTTTTTTTTTAGACAAAATTTTGTGCACGCGATTTCTCGAAAACTATTCAATGAATTTCTTTGAAATTTTCAGGGATAAAAGGTCTTTATATGAATTTTATATAAAATTCCGTTTTTTGGTAAATTCGGTTCCAGTGCCAAGTTATGGATAATTTCCTGATTTTAAAATGAAATTTTGTCCTCGAAGGATCTAAGAAACGGCTAAAGATATAAACTGGAGACTTGTTAGAGATGATAGGATACGACTTCTAGATTTGCAAAATTGCTTTTTCGTTCGTCGTCAGTACTTCCGGTCGCTTACGGAAGTGATCAAAGAAATCGTTAAATTTCAACTTTCCTTTTTTAAATCAATACTTACATTACATTATTGCATCTCTTTTGTAGTTTCGAAATATGTTGGTCCCACCGGAAACAAAAACGTCAACTTCCGGTTATAAGAGAAAAACTACATAATTTGAGTAGTTTTCTTTCCCATTAACATCTTTTGTAGATAAAGTATTTGGAATGAATTTTAAATATGTTATTCAGACAGCAAATGTCTAGAGTATCTTCAAATATCTTTGTAAAATTCACTTCCGGTCGCGTGTTTTTCTGTCCTCAAAATGAGAAGTTGTCTTAGCAAGATCTCGGAAACGGTAAGAGATTAAGACGTCAGACTTATATGAGCAACAGACCTTAAGATGTAGCCAAAACCACTTGGGTTCAGAGCATCAGCCGTCACTTCCGGTCGTCACAGGAAGTGATCAAAGAAATCGAAAATTTCAACTTTTCTTTTTTTTAATTAAAAATTGCATCACTTTATTGCATCTTTTTCGCAGATTCGAAAGATGTTTGTGCCATCGGAAACAAAAACGACAACTTCCGGTTATCAGAGAAAAACTACATAATTTGAGTATTTTACTTTCCTATAAATATTCTTTATAGATAATGTATTTGAAATGAATTTTAAATATGTTATTCAGACTGCAAAGGTCTAGAGTAACCTCAAATATCTTTCAAAAATTCACTTCCGGTTGCGTGTTTTTCTGTCCTCAAAATGAAAAATTGTCTGAGTGAGATCTCAAAAACAAGTAAAAGATTAAAACACCAAATTTTTACAAGTAACAGACCTTGAGGAGTAGGCAAAACCATTTTGGGTAAACGCGTCAGTCGTAACTTCCGGTCGTCACAGGAAGTGATCAAAGAAATCAAAAATTTTATCTTTTCTTTTTTAAATTAAAATTTGCATCACTTTATTGCATCTCTTTCGCTGTTTTGAAATATGTTAGATTCTACCGGAAACAAAAACGTCAACTTTCGGTTTTAGGAGATAAACTACGTTATTTCGATATTTAATTTTCTCATAAATATTGCTTATCAATAAAGAACTTGAAATGTTTTTATGCATTTTGTAGATACTGCAAATGTCTAGAGAAACGTCAGAGATTTTTTTTTATAAAATTCACTTCCGGTCGTTTGTTTACCTGTCCTCAAAATTAGAATTTGTTCTCACAATATTACTCGGCAACAGTAAAAGACTGAAGTCTAGAACTTTCAGGACTGATAGTCAGTCATCAGTTTATTTGAATCGCGAGGAAATCTTGTATCGCCGTTACTTCCGGTCGTGACAGGAAGTGATGTAAAAAAGTGAATGGTTAATGGTTAGCACATTGGATTTTCACGCTGGCGACAAGGGTTAAATCTCCAGAGTGTCTGAATTTCTTTTATCACCCTTTGAGATTGAATTTACGTTTTTATTTTCAAAATCGGACGGAAGACCTCTCATTGCTCGCAATGAGTTTCTAGTTATTATTATGTTCCCCAAACGAAGTTTGGGAACATATTGTTTTTACTCTGTTTCTTATTATTATTATTATTATTAAGGTCTTCCGTCTCCACGGAAGACCTTATAGTGATTCTATTGTTTCTTATTATTATTATTATTATTATTATTCTTTTTTTTTTAGACAAAATTTTGTGCACGCGATTTCTCGAAAACTATTCAATGAATTTCCTTGAAATTTTCAGGGATAAAAGGTCTTTATATGAATTTTATATAAAATTCCGTTTTTTGGTAAACTCGGTTCCAGTGCCAAGTTATGGACAATTTTCTGATTTTAAAATGCAATTTTGTCCGCGAGTGTTCTCGAGAATGGCTTAAGATATTAACTGGAGACTTGTTAGAGATGATAGAACTTGACTTTTAGATTGGAGAGGGCACCTTTTCGTCTGTCGTCGGCACTTCCGGTCGCTTACGGAAGTGATCAAAGAAATCGTTAAATTTCAACTTTCCTTTTTTAAATCAATTCTTACATCATTTTATTGCATCTCTTTTGTAGTTTTGAAATATGTTGGTCCCACCGGAAACAAAAACGTCAACTTCCGGTTATAAGAGAAAAACGACATAATTTGAGTATTTTTCTTTCCCATTAATATCTATTGTAGATAAAGTATTTGGAATGAATTTTAAACATGTTATTCAGACAGATAATGTCTAGAGTAACCTCAAATATCTTTCAAAAATTCACTTCCGGTCGCGTGTTTTTCTGTCCTCAAAATGAGAAGTTGTCTGAGCAAGATCTCGGAAACGGTAAGAGATTAAGACACCAGACTTATATGAGTAACAGACCTTAAGGTGTAGCAAAAACCATTTGGGTTCAGAGCGTCAACCGTCACTTCCGGTCGTCACAGGAAGTGATCAAAGAAATCGAAAATTTCAACTTTTCTTTTTTATTTAAAGATTGCATCACTTTATTGCATCTTTTTCGCAGATTCGAAAGATGTTGGTCCCACCGGAAACAAAAACGTCAACTTCCAGTTATAAGAGAAAAACTACAAAATTTGAGTATTTTACTTTCCTATAAATATTCTTTATAGATAACGTATTGGAAATGAATTTTAAATATGTTATTCAGACTGCAAAGGTCTAGAGTAAACTTAAATATCTTTCAGAAATTCACTTCCGGTCGCGTGTTTTTCTGTCCTCAAAATGAAAAATTGTCTGAGTGAGATCTCAAAAACAGGTAAAAGATTAAAACACCAAATTCTTATGAATAGCAGACCTTGAGGAGTAGGCAAAAC